GAGATCATTTCTAATCTCTGGTGCAAAAGTTACATTTTATCTGCTGTTGCTTTGCTTCAAATGAGTTCTTGCCTGCACAAATTCTTCACTTTGCTGGAAGCGTTTTTAGTCAACCTTTCTTATTCATTCCCACATTTTTAGACAGTGTGATTGCAGATGTGAAACAGCTGTTTGTCTCTCAATGATAGTCACTGTTTAACGAAACATCCTTTAAATCAAAGAGATCCAAAAATTTTATATTTGCATGCTTTCAATGGGATTATGAAACAGCATGAACAATGACAGAAAAGGTGTTTTCCAGCAGAATTCTTAATGTGCTCAGTGGGGCCTGTGGGGAAACCATTACATGCTGTATTTACTGCTGCACTCCAAAAACATTTACAATCCTGCATGGAGTTGAGTTTTTGCTGAACATTATCTCTCAATTTCCTGGTAGACTACACAACTAAAAATCACTTTTAAAACTTAAAAAATTAACAAGTATATACCGTGTCACCAAGCAGGGCTCCATAGATACAGATTGCTTCAGCAGTAAACTATGAATTTATTACAGGTTGGCAGCAGAGTCCATTAAAACACACTCAACTCAATGTGATCCTTACCTGTTGTTAAATTAATCTAGCAATGGTTGATAAGTATAGATTGAGGTTTGATTCTGTTAGGGACTTGGAACACAAGGAAAAACCAAAACCTTTATATTAAAACGGTTGGTAACACTTTACCTGAGGGGGGCACAAATAATGAAAAAGTATACTCTTACTTAATGCATTAATTAACTAGTAAAATCCTGGACTAGTTTTTGTTATGTGCTGATCCCATTTTTTTCATCATTAATCAATCATGAAGGTTCTTGTATTTCATGCAAGAACTATATGCATTCATGATTTGTTCTTGAGAAGTAACTAGCTAACTTATTTGTACCCCCTCAAGTAAAGTCTTAATAGTTAACCAAATGGCTCATACAAATGAACAAGTGTGTTTTTCATTACTGAGGGTGACTCACTTAGTACACTCATTTCCAAAAGAACAAATTAAATATCAATAGATGAGTTACAATCATCAACAGGGAAATCCATCTGTAGCCACAGAACTTCAGATATTTGACAGTATGTTCAGAATGAACAAGTGTGCCTTAACCAATGAGGAGGGAGGCAGGCAGCGGTATTATCTTAATATAGTAGGAGTTGAACCTGCCTTGGGTAATCAGGCAATGTCTAGCTATTTCAACAAAAGGGACTGCTGTAGATGATCATTTAATTATAGGTTGGGGGGTGGGCGGGACACACCCCACCTAATATTCACAAGAATGGTGTTTGACCTGCCAAATATTTTCCAGGATTTTGCTTTGTAAAACATACATATATGTGTCAGGAGAATTCAGTTCTCATCTAATCTCCTGACCATGGGGAAAAAGTCTTTTAGCCAATGATCCACTTGCATGTACATAAATTAATGCACACAGTTAATACTGAAATGTACGCATAACCTATACATAGGTATACATACGAGGTCATACGGGGTAATGTGAGAGGACTGATTTGACTCAAAGGACAATTTTGTCACTTAAGGGATCTGTCCCCGCCCCCAAATATTGAACGCCCTTGCACAGGATGCGGAAGTTGAAGAAGACTTTCCCTAAACATTTGTATTTGGTGACACCTAGTGGACCTGTGTAATTACAGGATGAAAAGAAGGATAGTATAGGTAAACAGACATCCCAAGTCTCCCGTAAGTTCCGGGAGTCTCCCGCATATTGACAGCGGTTCTCTGATGCCCACAAATTGAAAAAAATATCCCGGAAACTAGAGCAAGCAAACAAGAGTATGCACACGAGGCAGTAGCATGTGCATTGCGCACTTGAGAAAAGGGCGCGCACGACGGAATGAGCTAGAGAGAGAGAGAGAGAGAGAGAGAGAACGTGCGTATGTGTGGATCCCTGCGTGTGTGCCTGTTCATGTAGCCCGTGCTAGACAGACAGCATCCTGATTGGCTTATTTTGCTAAGTAAACCAATCAAATTTCAGTGCGGGCGGGCCTTTATTTTGTTTATTATTGTTGAGGTGAGTTTAACAAGTGTCATTTCATGTGCTGTATTATTCAGGTCTACACTAGTTAGACACTTAGTTGCCAAGGCTGTCATGAAAAGACCAAACTCCTTGAAGACTTTTGTAAAGTAGCAACAGAATATAATTAAGGAATTTGCATAAATAGTAAAAGAATAATCTATATTATTGTCAAAATAATACATAATATTGGCCTTTGTAATTTAGTGTGCTGACTTGAGAAAATTAATGAACAAATATTTATATATATATCCAATATAGAAATTCTGTTCTGTGAAATTAAGTTTGTTGAAGTTACATCTCCCTTCTTGTTGGGGGGGTTGGGGACACCTCCCTGAAATTAGTTTTTGCAGGTTGGGATGTCTGGGTAAATATCGTAAAGATTACATATTGTGTTTTTTTTCCATATATGTATTACATAATTTAATATAATTCCATGTTTAAATTAGCATAATGAAATGACAAAACACGTTAAATGGTACATTTCCACCGTGTAGGAGGTTTGCCCCAAAAACCCGAATACAAAATAAAGCTACCATCATTTCATTGACAGCGAATACAATGTTACAATGCAGTTCCCGGTTACTAAAGACGTTTGTTTTCTTATTGCACCCAGGGGTGGATTTACCATTAAGCAAGTGTAGGCAGTCGCCTGGGGCTCCCAAAAACTAAGGACCCCATTTAGACAGAATTTTCAGAAATTTCATTTATGGATGGAAGATTATTTGATCATTTTAATTATGTCAATATGTTTGTTTTTTTTATTATTTGTAGCAACAGTTTTCAGGATAGACAAAGTTGCCTCCAGTCTTGGCTACTACTACTTTGACACTTCAGGCTGGCCAGGTTTATTTTCACAGTGGAGCCTAGTGATACCGGTTATTTACTGACAAAAGTGAACCGGCGCAACCGGTTAGAGTGGTATTATTAAATTATTAAAAGACATGGCGAAAACACAATTAAATGGAAGTATGCAAAAATTCCAGACTAACCTTAGCCTAGGGGACGGAGTAAGGTACAGGCCACAGCCTAGGGCCACGGCAAAAGAGGGAATGGCTAAACTTCTTAAATTTGGCAAGATTTAGGATACCCAACTCCCTCTGATCAGCGTATTTTACTGAGAGCACTCCCTCCCCACCCTGATTGGTAAGTTTTACTGCAGGCACCCCATGTGTTTAGCAGATTATTTATGTTCATTCCTATTTATAATAATTTTTTTTTAACTCGTTCCTCTTTAGGCTCAAAAAAAAAAAAAAGCTCAAATGGCCCTACTTAGAGGGCCCCTTTTCCATGTCAGCCTAGGGCCTCCAGAGTAGTCTACCTGGTAACACTTTGACAGGACACAAATAATATAGTATTATACTATTACTGTCTACAAACTAAGCCTTAATTACATACTAATCTTATATTAATTAATCATTAATGAATCATGACACATGTTTGATCTCAAGCAATTACTGCATTTCTTACTATATTTGTTAATTCTGTAAACCTCTGTGAACTACTGAAGGAACTACTGAAGGAACTACTGAAGGAACTACTGCATGAAGGCACAAGTCATAACAAGTTAAATACTTCTCATATTTGTTCATCATTAATGAATCAGGATCCCTCTTCCATCCCAAGCAGTTATTATATTTGTTATTATATCTGTTAATTGTGCAAACCTTTGTGAACTACTGAAGAAACAACATAATTAGAGTAATACAGAACGGGAAAAAGGAAGGAAAGAAATTAAATAAAGCACAGAATAACACGTGCAACACTTATGGTTTTTCACCATTAATTAATCAACGCATCTTTTATCTTAAGTAGCAACTATATTTGTTCATAATTTGTACTTCAGTAGTAACTGAGTTATTACTAAGTATTTGTGCCACATCAAGTAAAGTGTTACTGTCCACGCCAATTTACCCTAGAATCCTCGAAACTTTAAGAATCGGGCGCCACTCAGCTTTCATATTTTCAGAATCGAATATGGTATCCCTCTCTGGCAGCAAATGAACTCTGTTGTGCTCAACATTATATTTTTTTCTTCTAAATATCTCTTTGGTATGGTTACTGGTTGAACTATATCGATTTCACCCAAGCGCAGTTTTAATAATTAATAATATTATTTAATAATTAAAGGCGTACATCTAAAAGGGTTTGAAACGGTATTCTGGACGGTGCCAGTATTACTGTTTAAAAAATTCAAAGAAAACCGAAACACATAACCCGCGACACGATCAAGTCCTCCACACAGAAAGTTCCGTCTGTTGCAAGAAAAATACGTATACAACGTTCCGCTACATTGTTTTCATTAAGCATAAGCTTTATTTTAAAACAACGTACTAAAATTAAAATATCTGAACAAAATCATGGAGAGGTAACGATATTAACTAGGACTAGTTAACTGCAGGTTAGATCCGTTTTAAAATATTTATGATATGATAGTCAAGATAAGCAGTGTGAAGAAGACGATGATTATTTGCGTTTATTTAGTATTACTCTCGCTGTCATACTTTCCTCAGCGGTACTGATAACATATATGTTGTATTCTGTCCTTATGCAGCATCTTATAAAACATGACGATCAAACCGTACAAGTGCAGTCAAAACGTACTGCTTTTTATTATTTACACATCAGATTTGCTGGTTTATACCGATGTTGTTTTAGATAATCATAATACAAGTGTTGAAATCTTTACTTTTATGTAATATTCTTCCTCACCGCCTTGTGAGTTTCTGCAAGCTGTAACCAGAAACTATATGCTATATGTTTCAAGAACCTGCACACGTGCGTACGTGTTTTTTTTTCGCGAAATACGAATAACCGGTTTCTGGTATTTACTGCCATATCTCTATATTTTGGCGGTGGAGGGAGGTAGGGGTGCGTTATGTGGGCGTGGTTTACTTGTGACATTTCACCGAATCACCGACAACATATTTTAACCACTGTGACGCGAGAATCGAGCTTCAAGTGACACTGCGCGAAACCATTGGTTATAATGAGCTATAATCATAATGTAATCTGGTTATAATCATGCGGACCCTCAAAATACAGGTAATGTTATAATTATGCTGGGATGTATAAATAGTTGAGTTATATTTATATATAGCCTATACATGTATACATATATATGTATATATATATATTGTTTTTCAAGAACAAGATCGCGTTGATGGCCTTTATGTCAAGTAACAGATGTCCAGTTCATATACGTAAACTTAGGTAATGGAAAAACTATTATGTGGCTATATTATATATTTATTAGGGAATTGGTTTCGTGTAGTCAGTAGACCAGTAATCCCCAACCTTCACGGTAAGCGAAAAGCTTTATCAAGCAATCTGTTCGCATTAAGATAGCTACTGTTTCCAAGTGTGGTATTATATGTTCCGCTTTTAATAGCGTGTTGTTTTTTGCGCGTTTCAAGGTCATAGATAAATAGCTCATTTTTTCTCTGAAATCGCCGCAAATTTAGCTGATCCCTATATATAGTATGTTTAAAATTGTCCAGATGGATATAGTCATGCAGAAAGGAATGTTTCAATAGAAGTCTAATTGCTGATAAACGCATTACGGCGAATAATGTTAACCTATTACAACACATTGAAAACCGACCAATAACCAAAATTTGCGCATTGGACTTATCTGTACTTATTCTTAGACGAGAATGGACGTGAAATTAACGCGGTACGTACGCTTAATGCTTCCCAGGTTTGCTTGCGCTATAGAAACAGCTACACTGCAGTGACGGAACAAAGTAGATACAGTACTTCTACAGTACCCTTCTCCTTCTCGCCACACATTGAATTTAATCACCATTTAACTACTTTTTTGTCCTGGATTGATATATCTTTTTGAAAATATGACAATATTTGTAATTTACATTTTTAATATCCATGATAAATAGCACGTTGTACTAAAGTGTAATAATTCACGCTGTCTGTCAACCCACAGTCTACTAAACAGATTTATACGGTGGTCTAGACTATATAACATTCGTGTGGTATTTATTCCAGTGGAAATTATATGTATTACTGTTTATTTATTGCGTTTCTAATGCAGGTACTGTACTTACCTTAATCAAAAATTAGAGTACTATTGAACAGTACACTAGTATTCCCGTGTTATTCCATGTTGTTACAGGTACATATGGTGGCATTATGACTCTGCAGTAGGTAAAACTGTTGCCCCACACGTCCAGTTTTGTGGGTTTAAATCCCACCCTTCATCTGTGAATGTGGAGTTTGCATGTTCTGTGGTGTGCAGGTTTGCTTCAACAGTTCGAACACATGCAGGCTAATCAGTCTAAACCGCACATATCAAATGTGTGCTTGCAGTGGATAGGTTGTCTCTAAAGTCCCATTCTTCCAGGGAGAGGCTACAGATCACCTTATACTTACTTGGATATTTCAGATATTAAAAATGTAAAAATGGCTAAATATTCAGTTAAAGGCAATACTAACTTTGTTCCTTAAAATAATATATGCAAATAAAAGATTTAATGTATGTGAATTTTGTAAATTAGTAGCATTTACAGACGCTCCTCTACTTACGAACTTTCAACTTACAAACTTTCAGACATACGAACAGAGGACTGTAATTCCAAATTGTGTTCATTGGGCTCCCATTTCCTGTCCGCAACATCAATATTTTTTTTTCTGCGCACCAATTCTGTCTAGTATAACTTCTGGCCGCTACTCCCGCCGCGCAGCAGCATAGCATCCGTACTCCCAGCATCCTAGTTCTTTGTACTTGCGTACACCCTTAAAATGATGTTGAATAACGACTTACGAACATTTCAAGTTACAAACAGCCATTCGGAACATATCTCATTCGTAAGTAGAGGAGCGTCTGTATTTGTAAATAATTTTGAATATTAATTATAACTCAATAATACCATATCATAATTGCACTCAATAATTATTTTTCCACTAAGGTAACATTTGCAAATAAAATGTGTGATATTTTGCAGTTTTTCTGATGGATACAGCAGAAGGGAATCCACTGGGGCGTGTCACACTATTCTTCGTGGAAGACAGCCTGTACTGTAAACAGGCAAGAGCTAGTCTCTTTGACCTGGGATTGCCAGTGCAAGAGGTAGACTTAAAGCAATATTCAAAATTAAGGTGCCAGCTGAAGGAACTCACTGGGTCCCACACTGTACCACAGATTTTCTTCAATAAAGTCCATGTCGGTGGTAAAGATGACCTGGACAAACTAGTGAGTTTCTTGGGTATAAGATGTTATTGTGCTGTTCTTAGTGTGAATAAAAGTGTACATCTCAGTGTCAATGGAGTAGTTGTTGTTTTATAATTAGCAAATAAAATTTCAATGGAATTTTTGGCTACTCGTCATTGGGTTCCACATATAAGAGGTTTTGCTTTTATCTCTCATTTATTAGTCTCCAAATGAGCTGGAGCATCTCATGCGGCTGGTGTGGGAGGAGCCCCTGAGTTTGGATGGCCCCCAACTGCTGGGCGACTGTCTTAACAAAGAACCTAAGGCCCATGGGGAAGGTGAGAATCAAGCTTCCCTATGACACAGAGATGGTCCTTTTCTAAGGCATTTTTTGACAAATTATTCCCCTTGGGGATATTTTATGAAGTGGGACATCAATTAGATTAAATTTACTGAATTTTGTATATCTTACAAATTTATGCTAAACTGAGCCAGGTATCCAGTTTTTTTTTTTTTTTTTAGTCAATTTTTGTTCACAGTTAACTATCAAAAGATGGCTGGTAACATGTCACGTAATATTTCTGTAGGGGTCTGTTTGATCATTGGAATGGTATGAAGACTGAGGAAGAGTTTGTCAAAAAAGCTGCATGTGTGTAGCAATACTGCAGTTCTAATGTGAGAAATACATGTGTGTATAGTCTATAAAGGCTTTGTTCAATGACAAACCTTTGTTTAGAAAGCTTTGCCTTGTTTGCCTCCCCAGCAATTTTTGTGAGGAGGACAGATTTGTGGACATGGTTCCACAGTTTATGCAGAGTGTAGTGATTGGCAGCAATATGGAGAGCTTGAAACTATGCAGATACAGCTTCTCACAAGAGTAGCCAGGGGATTAGCTTGTAGGAAAAATGCCTGGACAGGTTTTCATTCTGCTTCTGTCATCCACTAAGACAGTCAGGCCATGCTATATGAGGTTGAACATGGGCCCACTGCTGCTCTTTCTATTTCTGCAAGTATAATTTGCATGTAAATTGTTTAGGCAATGTGTGTTGCAGTGTATTGGTTTGAGCACAAGGAATTGACAGTTGGGACTGGCTAACAAATCAAAGTACTTATGAAAAAATTAGAAGTGAACTGCTTCAAATAAAAATAAGCTAACAGGCATCCTGAACCAGGTCACCACCTTCCAAGAAAGTCAGGTTTTCTGCCCACAAACCTCCTTCTCATGTAAGTTAGTGGTACAAGACAAACTGCACTGGATTCAAGTGCAGCAGAAATACACAAGTCAAACTGACCAAGCTAAACAAAAACTAAACTAACCATGCCAAACCTAACTAAGAAACATTTTTACAGCAACAGTAAGGGAGCAATCTTAGACAAAGTTTTTCTGCAAACAAATATAGAAATAAATTGTTTGATACGTCCTGCACTAGAAGAAAATTGGGTATGATTTTACTTGAGGGGGTATAAATAATGTAGTAGTACACGATTACTTAATGCATTAATTAACTAGTAACTAAGTGTAAGTTACACACCGATCCCATTCATTCATCTTTAATCAAACATGACGGTTCATGTATTTCAAGCAGGGACTCTATTATTTTCATGAATTGTTTTTGAGTAGCAACTGAGTAACTAAGTTATTTGTGTTTGTTGCAATGCATCTGGCCTCTGCTGGTGTGTTGGAATGTCATTGCTGTATGTATGCGCTGGCTGGGACTGTCTGCATACATGAACAAATGTAGTATGCACACAAGAATACATGCACACAATTATACGCACATTGTAACAACACACATAATATAGATGTGTGAGGTTTAAGAGCATGTACCAGTGGCTGTTTGTTTATTTAGCCACTAGAGGTCATTATAACTGCTGGTGCTGTCAATTTATGATCCCTCCTGCAACATCCAACCCAGGAAGTAAGTTCCATCTTTTTAACACAAAGTGGTTCAACAATGTGATCCTATATTTTTTAATATATAAAATATGCATAGGCATTATATAAGATTTTGTCTTTATGAAACAAATCAATTTAGTTGTACATGATGTAAAATGTAATGTGTATCAGACAACTGATCTTAAATGAAGAAATCTTCAGCATATAGAATCTGATGAACACTAAATTACTAGATCATTTTTTATTTTTAACTTTTTGTTGTCATGAAATAATGCTTATTATTATGCATACCAAGCTACAATTATGTGATCTGAAGCCACAGAAGGACACCATATCTTACCAGGCAAATATTCACCATTATTAAGTCACACATAAAAGAGATTAAGTGTTAGTATAGTATATTTCATCTCTTAATTTTATGAACCATGCTGTCTAAGCACAAAAAAAAATCAGTGATGCATATAAGTTGATCTTGTTGAAATACCTTAAATTTTGTCTATGCGGGAACGTTCTTAAAAAATTTTATCTCCTTACCTCGAAAAAGCCATAGAGATATAAATGTGACATTTGAATGAACAGTATGAAACACTGATTCTGTTTCTATTCACACAGCAAACCAGCTGTCAATGATGCTGCAGAATGTGATTTTGAGACTGTACTCAGACCACCTTTCTGCAGATGGCAAGGTATCACCGAATAGGCTTTTTTTTTTACATTCATAAATTGGTCACATACTTCAAACCTGTGCAGAATTATGGGACTTTACTCAAGCAGTTCTATTTAAGGGTCATCCTCAGAGGTGTAATGACTCTCATGTTGCCCTTGAGCTCTGCATAATTAACTTTTCTGTCCTTTTGATTTTTAGTAACTTACAAAAGAAGCTAACCTAAAGCATAATATTTGAAATATATTTCCCTAACCCTTTTTGGTCATAATATTTCAAAATATTTTAGTTAAAAAGATTAGATTATTAAACATGTTTCTAGCAATATATAGAATATTTACAGACATTACATAAGCAGTATAAGCGATACATTGTTTTGTGTAGCAACAAATTGCCCAATAGGATAAAGTTATAGGGTATTTATATAAAATGAAGGACGTTGATCTGTGAAGGACGGCTCTTTGTTTAATTTTTTAAGTTGTCTTTCAATTATAAACCTGGAACAGTCGGACTAGTTTTTATCCAGGTTTGGAAATCAATTAGACAATTAAGATTAATTGTGACAAAAATACATTCACAGCCCCTGATGGACCACAGTTCAATACCCCTTGAGCAAATAATTTACAATAAATGGAGAACACTCATTATTTGCTATTGACTCACAGCAGGTGGACTACAAGGCCATCTCCCGCAGTGCAGCATTTGAGAGCTACTGTGAGCTGACAGTGCAACTGCAGCACATCCAGCTGCAGCAACTGAATCATGAGGAGAAGCTGGCTTTCTTTATTAACATCTACAATGCCCTGGTCATCCATGGAAACTTGCACCTGGGCTCCCCAAAGAATATATGGCAGAGGTACCGGGTAAGGTCACAGGCTGAGAAAGCAGTGAACTGCTGCTTCCTTTACATGGGTATCCAGACTCTAGTGAAGGAAGGGAAAATGGCCAGAATAAGGGCTAGGATTATTCTTGTAATAATAAGGGTTTATTATGTAGTATGGCAGAGTGTGGATACAGAAAATGCACACAGAGAGCATCGGGTTGATGAAGCAGAGAGAGGCAGATTTTATTAAATAAAACAAATTGTCGCAGCATGGCAAGGGAAGTTTGGGATGGAAGGCGGTGATCACCAATGTTTGTAGCAGTTCCTCCTGGGAAACGTGAAGAGTTCTGAAATGTCCATAGCTGCCCTCTGTTCAGGGTGCTGTTATTAGTCCACGGTCACCTGTAAATTGCCCAGAGTAGCCAGTAGCTGGGGTCTCATGACACCACTGCAGCAGCACATAAACCAGAGCTAGGATCACTGAATCACATCTTGAACTAAACAACATTCCCTTGACTCTTGGGAATGAAGGCACAAAACCACTGTATTGGGCGTCCCCTAGTTACCCCAAGGCCCAGTTTGAATGCTGACTATGGAAATCTTAGACAGTTATATTTTATTTAGTCGATGCTAATGTCCAAAGTGACACAGTTGACAAAGCAAGGTTAGCCAGTCCTTGGAGCAAACAAAGTTAAGGGTCTTGCTTAATGGCCCAATGGTGAAATATCTGTGCCAGCCATGGAATTTGAACCGACAACCTTCTGATCACTAGCACAGCATCCTTACCCACTGAGCCATACCCCACCCCAAGCTCCAGAAGTATTCTTCTCGATTGTACCCTTCCCAATCCACATGCATCTGCACCCAAAAAGAGTCCAAAATCTTGTTAACCATGTAAGCTGGAGTGCCAGAAAGTATATGGCAGAGAGGTAGCCAAACACAGTGGGCTGAAGTACAGGGGCTGGAGGAGGGATCTGTGGAAATCAGGGAGGATCCTCATATTGCCAGAGAAGCAGTGATGGTAAGAGAATGGATTATTCTTCTCCTCCACCTTGAAGCATCCAGTTTACCATGGAGTGAACTGAGCAGCAGATTCTGTGCTGACAGCCAGACTTTTTCACCAGGTTTATACATCATCACAGGCCCTCTCCAACAATTTTCCTGGTGGACTCCTGGAGACGTGCCTTGCAGGAGTGCAGATCCAAGTATGGCAACATCTGCAGAAGTAGACAGTACTAGCAGCTTGATACGAGACTATCAGCCTTGTGTTCTGACACTGATATCAGCTGACCATTTGGATCCACAAAGGACAAAGACGAGAGTTTCATCTTCAGAAGAGGGCAAATTTATACTGAAGTCCATGAACAGCTGGGCCCAATGGGTGGAGCAGACCTGGAGCACATTGTCAAGGTTTCTTCTGCTGGGGTACAGGTGGAGCAAGCTGTTGCAAAGTCCTACAAATTTTTTTGTAGTAGTAGGTAATCAGAACTGTGTCTGCAAAGACCTTATGGTGCATTCCACACCAGGGTGCCCTGCCAACTGCAAGAATGCCCCCACTTCTGCATCTTGGACCAAATGCTTGCCTGCAAGAGTCTATTGGAAGGACTTCCTCCTGGGTCATATGCCAGGCCTCCTTAATTTCTGAATCTTCTATGTCATCTGCCAAGACAAGAACCTTATATTCATGAACCCTGGGCAGTATGAAAGAATACACCAGACACTACTGCCCACTGGTCCATAGTGCACAGTGCACAAACTGGCCATACTGGAATGGTATGTGGTTCTGTGCCTGAAGACAGAAGGTCACTGATTCAAATCCCATGGCTAGGAGAGGGATATCACCATTGAACCTCTGAGAAAGGCCCTTAACTCTAGTTGCTCCAGGGACACTGACGGAACAGCTCTCCCCCACCAGAGAGTACTGCCCACTGATCCCACTGATGATCCTCTGGAAATATGCCAGGTTCTTGTGAGCAGATATGTTCCATCCTCCAGCTAGTAAGGACAGTCCTTCCAGGCCTTTTTACTGCCAGGAGCTCCCTGTTCATCATGTCCTTGTTACTCTCAGTGGGAATGAGATATTTGAAGAATTAGACATAGGAATGGATCTTCTCATCACTGGAAGATCACTAGCAAAGGATAGGGCCTATTCTCACAGCTGAGGCATTGACTTCAAGGATAAGTGGCTGTGAGCAGTCTGAGTACATGAGGAGAAGAAAGAGATAAATTGGCATTTGAGGTCAGATAATGCCCTACATAGCTCAGGCATCCATTTGAAGCCCGTCAAGTTTTTATGCGTCTGAATGATTATGGTAGTGACTGGATGAAACAATGATAAACATTTGTAGAGCTCATGAACCTCAGAACTTGTTTATCTGAAATAGGTTTAGGCTAGTCGATCACTGCTTGCACCTTGCTGGATGCACCTTGTTTGGGGATGATTATGTATGCCAGGAAAGGAAATCAGTTGGCATAAGACAAACATTTCTCAGCCTGTTGAACAACCATTTGAGTTCCCGCCTTATTAGCTCAATGCATTCCTTTTTGGTCCAGGAGTAGATGAGGATGTCATTCAGGTAAACAAAGACCACACAGCCCAGCATGTAATGCATGACATCATTCACAGAGCCTAGAAGACTGCTGGAGGACTGATGAAACAAGGCATTACTGGATACTCATAGTGCTTAGTTGTTTATCCTCCTCCCGGAGCTACACTAGGTAGTAAGCCTTGCTCAGGTCCAACCTGCTGAAATTAGTTGCTCAGTGTAGGTACTCAAAGGCAAAACTCAACCAGGGGAAAGTGTACTCATTCGTGATTGTTACTATTGAGAGGATACTAATCAATGAAGGGGTGGATGGGGGCCTTCTCCTTGCCCATGAATGATAACCTGCTCCAGGTGGGGACATGGATGCACAAAAGATGCCACTGGCAACATCCTGGACATAACCTTGATCACAGGAATAGAAAAGGTATAGTCACCTATGAGGAGAACAGGTATGCAGAAGCAACAGACATCTGGCCAGTGTGGTAGCAGCATTATAGCCTTTTTCCTCACTGAAGATCCCTTGGAGGGTTAGGAATTTTTGGGTAAGACTGAATAAGTCTAAGGTCTATATACAGTTATTCATTTAGTGGACACATTTGTCCAAAGTGATGGACAAGTTAGGATCAGAGAACATAGTCAGTCAGTGTCCCTGGAGCAACTAGAGTTAAGGGCCTTTCTCAGAGGTCCAGTGGTGATATCCCTCTCCTAGCCATGGTATTTGAATTAGTAACCTTCTGATTATAGGCACAGAGCCACATACCACCCCAATATGGCCAGGTTGAGCATGAGGGGGGCAATGGGCAGTATTCTCTGGTGTTTGTTGGCAGACTGACTGACAGAAAAATTTCCATGGGGTCACACCAGCCAAAGAAAATTTAGGTCTAGGGGTAGGTTGGTAAGTCAATTAGGTGGAAGAAGATAACTTCCAGATGGTGCATACCTCTTCCTACTCGCAGGGCCTCAGTACAAGCAGTGACCATGTCAGAACCAGATGGTCAAGCACTCAAGGCAGTGATCACCAGAGGTTTTTGAAGTTAACAGACTAACACCCCCTTCCCCTGGCACGCACACAATTGAGTTAGTTGATACACAGGGAGTTGAGTCCAGACTAAAAAGCACTCAGGAAGAGGGTTAGCATTACTGCAAGAAGATTTCATCCAATGCCTTTACCAGTAAGGATCACTAAACCACATCTTGAACTACCAGCAACTCTGTTTACCACCATTTTGTTCAGTACCATGGAAATCTAGTCAATGTGGTTCCCACCTTTGTTTCATCCATCTAATCCAAAAGCTGCATTACTACAACATTTAGTAAATGTAAACTTTTACATTTAAAACATAAATGGTCATGATGATACTTGTTTTATTTTTTTTCAGTTCTTTAACTATGTGAGCTACGTAATTGGGGGAGAGCTGTTCACGTTGCAGGACATTGAAAACGGGGTGCTACGGGGGAACAGAAGGGGCATAGCACAGTTGTGGAAGCCCTTCTCTGAGAGTGACCCACGGCTCCAGGTTACTTGTGTTAAGTACAGTACTATTAATCAGCTCTTTCTTATGATTATAATGAAAAGGAATCTAGAGTGTGTTATGATATGTAAAATATTTTAATCTTGGTTTGACTGCTGCTGCTCCCCCAGGTGGCACTTCCTCATCCAGAGCCCCTTGTTCACTTTGCCTTGAATTATGGTGCCAAGGGATGCCCTCCAATTAAAACCTACATAGCCAAGGTAAAGAAATATTAATGACTTTAACAGTAAACTGCTGTCATCATCTTAAGTACATTTTTCATGAACCATGTGTTGGCAACTTCTGTCCTTACCTGTCATAGACAGTCTATCAGCTTTGAAGTTTTGATTTGGGTTTAGAACATTGAGGTCAAATGAAGTAAATGCTCTCAAGCCCATGAAAAGTGACAAGTATTTGGTAAACACGACAGGACATCAAGAGTCAGCTCCATGCTTCTGCTGAAGCCTTCCTGGAAAATGACAACAGCTGCATGGTTGATGCCACTAAAGGAGAAGTTAAGCTCAGCCAGATCTTCAAATGGTACAAAATGGACTTTGGAGACACTGATGAAGAGGTACTATAATGCCCACTATTTTAGCGTGGCTCAAAATTGAATGTGCACCACAAGTTCTTGTCCTTAAATAACTTATATGCAAATACCATACTCTCTGGGCTTGTAATCTTTGTGTCAATGTTTTCATCATAAGCATTTCCATGAAATACACCATGATGTGCAAATGAAAATGTTTTATCACATGGTGATTTTTTTACACAGTTACTGAACTGGATCTTAAATCATATGAGGGAATCACCAAAGAAGTCCAGTCTTCAGACCGTATTGGCAGCAACCAAATACAAAGTGAGCTACATGCCATACGACTGGTCCACCAACAGTATTGACTGAACTTTCAGTATTGACAGCTTCACTGTGCGTAGATGGGACCTCAGGTGTACCAATTCCCATGTAAAAGCACAGTGAGATCTGAGAGAAAGCACAAGTCTCTCAACAGAATATCAGCGCCTCAGTATCCTGCACCTTATATCCTGACTACGCATTCTACAGCAGTATGTGTGTGACTCTTAACTGTCTGTTTAAAGACAAATATTAACACCATTTTTATGGCAACAGTTATATATTGATACTGTCATATATAAATCATTAGAAGTTCTGCTGGCTGTTGGATTACATTCTGATAATGTGTCCTGAGGTGAAGTTAAATGAACTATGAAAATGAACTATGCAGTAATTTAAAACAACAGCTTAATGCTGATGTGTTTTAATGTGTTTAATGTATTGCTTTTATTTATTTATTAAGGCATTTTATTATTCTGTAGAATTACTGTTTGTCAATAACTATGGTTGTTTTCTGATACCAGCATGTTGGAAACCTGACACCACATTGCCTTGTCAAACTCCAGACAACAGATACAGCCATGGCCTATGTGCACATCTACTTTAAAATGCACCTGCTAGGTCCCCCATATCGCATGCAGTACAGAAATCTATCAGTTGAAAATATAATCCATACGAGACAGTTTCTTAAACCATATTTATAATTTTTACTACTGTCCAGTCTGTTCCTGTGTGAATAGGCATTTTCACACAGAAAAGCCTCTTGTAATTCATTACAATGGAAGAAAAACCTGGACAGAACAAGTTTACAAAAAATTGGTGTAGAATGATAATAGCATGTGTTAAATTTTCAGCAAGACTTGTTTGAAATTTGGAGCAGTGCACTCAAAATACATATTCACAGCACATCGTAGAAAGCAACTGGAATGTGCTGTCTGACCCTAATGTCAGTGCATAGTCTCTAGAGCAGGGTTCCTCATTCCTCTTTCTGGAGATCTACCATCCTGCAGAGTTTCTTTTCAACATAGCTGGCTCTACTAATGAAATGCTACTGAAAGACCTGATTATCAGGTGTGCTAAATAAGTGTTGCAACTAAGCTTTAGGGCTGAGTCTGAATTCAAGGGCTGCATCCTTCTAAGGCTGCATTTGAAGTCTGAATACAGCAGTGCGATAAGGCTCCTTCTAATGTGGTCTAGAAATGCGTCCTTCTTTTGCCAAGTCGTGAAAGATTCACCCGATGGGTCCTTTGCTGCCCAGCATACCCTAAGATTCATTGCACAGAGATAAAGTGGGTGTGTCCCATCTAGGTGATAGGAGCTGCACTTCATGACTCAAAGGTAAGGGTGGGAACAGCTGGTGACACAAATAGGAAATAATCCATAGGCCATACCATCCCATTTGACAAAGCTTTCTGTTCGATCTTTGAAGAACATAACTTACAAAGGCCATGTCTTTGTAGACCAGGTCCTTCAAATGATGCAACACTTGAATTTGGACATAGCCTGGATCTCCAGGAGTAGTAATGAGCAGCCCTACTCTACAGCACATTTGTCTTGCCTGTAGATCGATTTTGCATGTCCTGCCACTTGTATGTTGCATGTTGAATACAGGGCTCTGACTCTCACTTTGAACTTTACAGAACATCAGACTCCCCAAGTTCCCTGTAACAGTGCCTTTAAAACTTGCTTGACAGATCATACCTCAGCAACACTAACCCTTGTTAACAGGTCTACGATTTGTTACAAATATTAAGTAACATTTACCGGTATATGACATATATATAATAATTTCCTTAACTGTAATGTTCAGAGTTTACCTCATTTCCATTTAACATCAGGAATTAAAATGTGATGCAATTTTTTCTAAAATAGAAAAAAGATGATGATATTTTATTATTTTCCATGGGGAAAATAATCAAGTATGTTTTTGCCTATCCCATCTTGCTGTTTATGAAACACATACACAGTTGACAGATAGTTTGGAGGTTACATCCAGGGGTGTAACAATGCACCGTGGTACAATATTTAGCAATTCAAAAAGATGCAAATACACATTGTAGGGGTATAACAATGCACAATGGCACAAAATCATTTATTAATATTAACACATGAGGACGCAATAAGCACAATCTCAGTTTTGCTTTGAGATTTTGTTTTTGCATTTTGCACTGGACTGTAAAGAATAAGGAATAAACTGCAAGAGAAAAAGAAATGGCTTGAAAACACCATTTGTTTGTAAATGTACATGACTAAATAGAAATAAATAAGAACCATGAGATTTTAGTTTTCAGTCTTATTTTGTTGAATATATTGAACTGCATAAACTTGATTTACATATGATAAGCAATTTGTTTATGCCTCTCCAGAAATATTAAATATGCAATGAGCATTTAAATTGACTTAATCATTGGTGTCATTTTGTTGATGTTCCTCTGTTATGCACTAGACTGTAAAAATGGTAACATTGTATTGTGAATTTTCTGGATCAGATGCTACTGGAGTGAAATTACTTGAATTTATGGTAGTTTATCTCTTTCAATTGACTCTTGACTGGAATTCTCTGGGTCCAGCATTCACTGCATATTGCAACTAGAAAGGGGACTACCAGGATGACAGCACTGTATTCCCTGGAAAGCCCAGTCACCCACTCCACCCATCTAATCCATACTTCACCCACATTCCAGAACCTCTACAATTTATAGAAGTTATGGATGGATCAAATGGAAATTGGAAAGCCAATAAATGTATTTACCCAAATGCAAACTTCACATATTAATTTACTACACATGTCAATTTGCACAATCTTTCCCCACCAATTTGACAGTTAGCTGTATTTCTTTGTGTATGTCTTAATGTCCATGTAATAAAATGTCATTTGTATATGTTTAAATAATTATATATTTTCCCATTTGCACTTTAACCAACATTTTTCATGACATAACAGTAAGAATTGTTGTCATTCTGACAATCTTTTCTAGTTAAGCTTTCCTTTTGCTTTTCAGAAAGAATGAGAAAAGCATTACGTTTTAATTCTTTGGGCCTTCAAATATAAAATGCAATGCATAAAATAAGCACTAAGAATCAACTGAATGTGTTTTGCTGCAGTACTTTATCAGTTTAGGCCCTTCAAAATAAATGAATGAACTCAAGATTACATAAACTTTACAGCATGGGCCACAGGCACAGTGCCAATGTTTAATGTATAAATTAGTGCTGTCAAATGATTAAATTTTTTAATCAGATTAATGACAGGGTTGCTGTGGATTAATTTTGATTAATCATGATTAAATATCATTCATTTTTAATCTATATTAATCGCATTTCATTTTGCATGAGCAAACAGACTCAAGAAAAAAGGGAATATATATGAACTTAACGTGGTTATTGAACATCTTGAACACAAGTCGGATGCATTCCATCTGCCACAAAAGTGCAATACCATGGACCCATATCAAAAAGCAAGATTTTCTGCTTAGCCGGACAACTTGTTGGATTTAAGGTGCCTTAGTTTAAATGGTCTTTATCTTCGTTCACTAACAATTAGCCCGAACTACCGTAAATCCGACAAATAATCCGACTAATCATGAAATCCAATTCAACCTGGTTAATTGCCATTGTTAGCAATATCAGCTGATAACACATTACACACAGTGCTTTACATATAAAACTGCGTAGCAACACGTCCACAGATAAGTTGGACGGTATAGTTTGTGCGACCGATTTAATGAGCCACAAATGAGAAGTAGTGCTTAAACAGTATAAAACTACAACTTTCCCTTCTGTTGATAAAGGGCGCAGCCATCTTGGATTCTTAACTCGGGATCCTCTGTGCTGCTCCGAGATATTTCTTGGATCTCCAAGAAACGGGAATGTGCATGTCGTCACTTCCAGCTTCAAAACTCGGAATTCGACTCGGAATGCAAGTTCCTAGGGCAAATGGAATGCACCAAAACTGGCCGAATGTCACGCCCCGCTCCGTCCGCTCCCGATGTGTGCCACGCCCACCTCGTTACCTCGTGTTCAGCCCTAATTGTGATCTCCTGTGTCCTGTTAAGTCTAGCTTGTCTTGTGTATTTAGTCCTCGTCTGAGTCAGTCTTCCCCAGACTTGTCATTGTATTGTCCGTCGATGTCCGTACCTGTCAGTCCGTTCGTGCAATTAAACCCAGTTTCCCTGACTTCCTGGCTCCGATCACCTATTTCCCTGCTCGCCCGAGCCCGAACGTGACACCGAAATGGGTTGACAGAAACATTTCAGGGATTTTGACTCATTCTGCGCTGCAGATGGGTTAATTGCATTAAAAATTTTAATCAGATTAAAAATAGAAAGAGTCATCGTGGAGATGACAAACCTGGAAGGGAGGAAACAGTTTTCCACCAACTGGAAAGAACTAACCCTGGAAGAATATGATGCCTTCGTCGGCATCTGTATTCTGGCTGGGGTATTCAAATCCAGGGGTGAATCGATCTCCAGTCTCTGGGACCTAAGAACAGGGAGACCAATCTTCCCGGCGACGATGAGCAAGGGGCGGTTTGGCCAAATAACAGCGGCACTCCGTTTCGACGACAAGTCATCTCGGCAAGCTAGACGGGCATCGGACAAGCTTGCACCGATCCGCGATGTATGGGAGATGTGGTCAAGAAACCTGCCTACTATGTATAATCTTGGCCACGATCTCACAATTGATGAGCGTCTGGTACCATTCAAAGGTTAGTAATATACGTTATTACTGCTCTAGAATTTTATATACATTGTTACACGTTTATAGTTCAAATATAGATCTCATGTTCATTAGCAATGAATCGTAATGGATCATGTATTTCAACTAGTTACCTTGTTCATGATTTGTATCCGAATAGTTACTAAATTACATAGGAATTACATTGTAACGGGTTACTAAAAATGTATAATGAATTGGGACACTTAGTCCACTAAATGTAAATGCGGCTGCCTGGTCAACTAAGCATGAATGGGGCAGCCTAGTCCACTAAATGTGGCCACCTGGTCAACTAAGCATGAATGGGGCAGCCTAGTCCACTAAATGTACATGCAGCCGCCTGGTCAACTACGCGTGAATGGGGCCGCTTGGTCCACTATAAATAATATAATAATGTATCCGATTGCTTCATTTGATAACAAATTTGTATTCCCTCGATGTGTTCTTGCAGGACGCTGCTCCTTCAGGCAATATATGCCGCGCAAACCCAGCAGGTATGGGTTGAAAATCTGAGTACTCTGCGACTCCAGGACGAGCTACTGCTGGCGGCTCAAAATGTACACTGGGAAGCCTCCGGGGGAGGCACGGGAGGTCGATTTGGCCAAAAATGTGGTGCTGGATTTGTCTGAGGGGTTGGCGGGGCACACCATTACTGTGGACAATTTCTTTACCAACTTCCGTCTGGGACAGGAGCTCCTCCAGCGTCACCTGACGATGGTAGGCACTGTACACCGAAATCGTCCAGAGCTGCCGCCTGCCCTGCTAACGACTACGGGCAGGCAGCTACATTCCTCGAAATTCGCCTTCGCCCAAAACACAACACTGGTCTCGTACCTAGCAAAAAAAAATAAAAACGTAATTCTAATGAGCACACTGCACAGCCAACCAAATGTAACCCAAAGGCGAGACCGAAAGCCAGAAATTGTAATTGATTGCAATAAAACTAAGGGGGGGGGGGTTGATACCATGGATCAACTCATTTCGAATTACACATGCAAAAGAAAAACGGCTCGCTGGCCCCTTGCCCTGTACTACAATGTTCTGGACATTTCGGCGCACAATGCCTACATCGTCTGGAAGGAGCTCCATCCCGGATGGAAGGCAGGACTAAAGCAGAGACGCAGACTATTTCTGCAGGAGCTGGGCGAAGCCCTAATCGCTCCCACCGTTCAGCAGCGAACGCGTCTTCCCCGAGGCATCCACACTGCTGCAACGGTGAGAGCGATTAGGGACCCCCAGCTCAGTGACACCCACCCCTCAGACGTCCAGCCCACCCAATCGCAACCGATTGTACTCCCGTCTCCCCCGGAAACAAAGTCAAAGAGGAAGAGATGCGCCATGTGCCATTACACCAAGGACAGGAAAACCAGCGTGGTCTGTTGCCAGTGTGGGACCCTGGTCTGTAAGGAGCACTACAGTATCGTGTGCAAGAAATGCAGACGTTAAATGTAAATAGTTGACTTTATTAT